TTTCATAGAAAATGTTTATTCCCTTCATACATTTTTCTTTCACAGTCTCCTCAGCTCACTTTTACGTCGCCCACAAAGATAAGAAAAGTTACCTTTAGTTTGTATTATCTAACCAATATGTAGGATGCACTTAAACCCCCCCACAGAGAGGTGTTATTTGCAAAAAGTATTACCTTTTCGTTTCTTCAAACACTGCGTGTAATCTCTCCGTTGCCCAAGTCTCTCCAGCGTGACATAGGTAAATTTCACAATAACAAAGTGAGCTCAAACACTGCCTTACTGAACATTATCTGCCCTGCAGGAGACTTTCCCTCACATCCGATTACTTTGGATCCCTAACAAAACAAGCACCACAGCTCTACACAAATAAATTTGTGTACTCTTGTTCCAGTTAAATAATATTTTGCTTATACCTAAAGTAAGAGATCTGGAAGTATTTTAATATTAAATTAGCATTTCCATGCGGCCTAAGCAAGAGAGCAGGGTTAGGAAGCCTGGGGGTCCTGAACCGCACACCGTTTACCAGTGGTTCAGATGGTCCCATCCAGACTGAGCATAAGCAGCAGCAACGCACAGAAGCTGCTGGGAAACAACCCCCCAGGCAGGGGCCCAGACAGGCCTGCCAGGGGCATTACTGCAGGCAGGGCTGCTCCTTTGCCTCAGCATCTACGCGGCACCAGGCCCAGAGGCAGCCCTGATGCAGCCACCACCCTCCCCTGCTCACACTTCTCTGCGGGGGCTGCACATGGCGCCACAGGAGCTTCCCCGCGCGTGGCCCGCAGCAGCCATGAGGGCAGGTATCCTGAGCCCAAAGCACCTTTGGAAGGGGTGGACAGCTGCAACGTGGCATTGGGGCAAGTGAAAAATCATTTGCCCTTGCAAACACTTCAGGGAGAGGAGGAGACCAGGCACAACAGCGCTAGCTCCAGGTGTGGATGAGGCAAGACAGGGACGGGATTAAACGGTTGAAGAAGATACACCCAAAGAAGATTATTTCTTCCTTCCACTTAGTAATTTGCAGTGAGTTAAAAACACCATTAATTGGAATCCACTTATTAGACCAGCCCTCAAGGCCTGAACCCACCTATGCTGGGGCAAAACTAGCCCCCAGAAGCAGATTCTTACTTTAAGACTTTTTGGATTACACTCTTACCTTTTTTAATTTAATGAGGGAAATATTTTGCCTGTATAAAGAAATGTTTGTTCCTGGAAAATATTTATGTAATGCAAAATGTTGTATTATAAATCCAATTGCAAGATGTAATCCAAAGTGCAGAAGGTCCACATTCTCTTCTCAGGCCCACATGGGTAAATATGAAGCAACTGAATTAAGTGAGTGAAGTTTCTTTGGTGTTGATATGCCAGAGAGAGGGATTTGGCCATAAGTGATCTGCATACCTCTAGAAAAATCTGTGATAAAATAAAGTATACCACAACATTAACTTTTTACTGATGCTGCACCATACGTTATACAGTCTTCTACCTAAAATATATTCCGTTGATAAAAGAATATCAAGTAATAAATATATAGGCTATCTGATGAAAAATATTTGAATCTATACTTAAACATCTTTACTCTTTGCTGAGGCCTTAACCAAAGCGAAAGATCTAAAAATTCATGTACTTCAAAGGAGACTGATTTTTGATAGTGATATTGTAGCCCGGGGCCATCTTTGAGGTATATAACTGAATATCCAGTTCTTTGATGATATCTGTGAAAATGCTATTTGGAGCCAAACATTTGCACAATGTACATGATGAAATGTAGTTTCTGTTGCTGAATTACATTATTTTACCCTGGCAGTTTGTTAAAAACAAAACAAAACCAAACAAAACCAACCCACACGTGTTAATAGACATGATAACCATAGTACAGCAACCTTAAGTTTAACATAAACTATTAAAATATATTTTTTCTTTTAATCTCAGAGGTTGTATAGAATTATATGGACCACCTTGTTGTTACACAACATGTTACAGTTTTAATGGGGAGATGTACTCAGTGATATAAGTTTTTCCATCTGTAACCTCTTTGATTCTAATGAATGCAATCATTTTAATTAAATACTACATGTAATAGCTTACTATAACACTTCAAATTGAAGAAATCATTTTCAGCATATGGTATAAGGTTTTGTATTTGGTCCAGATCAACTGAAAAAAAAAAGTGTTTTATTTAATATTTGAGGTTGTAAGGCATTTTTATTACCATGTAAAGTTTCAGAAATATTTCTGAACTATAGAAACCAGTTTCAAGTTAACAACTGAGGTTCTGGATCCACTTCAAGGCTAGAAAAAATAAAATAATAGTTAAAGTTTAGATCTCTCTGAAGGCTGTGAAAACCCTTTGATATTTTTACTTTGAAAATAGTTCACTTACAAATTTTAACTACAGCACAGATAACCATCTGGTGGCTGCTCAGTGGATCATGAGAAATGAAATCAGCCTCAGTCTATAACATTTAGCTAGTACTAAGGAGTCACAGTAGTTACTAGAAAAACCACAACACTTTTTATTAACTGTAGGAGTAGGCATCTTAATCTGAATGAGTTCAGGTTTCCGGAAGTACTTGGTTTCCATATCAGGCTTGCATACGAGCTTTCTACATTTATTAGCACAACTTAGATTATGCAAACAGAACTTCATCATATTTGCATATCCATGCCCACATATTTTTAAGTTGTTCCTTAGTAACTGTATCATGATGAAAACTGCAGACTTTTTCCTATTCACAGGCCAAATAAGAACACAACATGCCAGTTGGTATCTGCCTGCATGATACCGTATAAAGTACAGCAAAATAAATTTCCTTAGCAAATGAAACAACATGGGAAACAAAACTACTGGTAGATGTTTCACCACTGGTATTCATTGGCCTATTTAGTAGAGGATCTCCTTCTTCTTTCACTAGTGTTATGACATCTAGAAAAGGGATATGATAACTGGAGAAAGGGAAGAAAATCAAAAAAGATATTGTTCTCATTCTATACTATAATAGTTAAGATGAATTTTATTCATATTTTAATATATCTGGATGCATTGCCATTTACATTTTTTTACATCTTTTATGCCAATATAGCTTAAAGAAAAGAAAAAAGTCCCTTTACTGCCAAGTCATATAAAGTAGCCTACATTTTAAATGAGAATTGGGCCACTGCCCTCTAATTTTGTATTATCTTCCAAATCATGGCGTTAATTTATATTTATACATGATACAGAAAAAGTTACTATCTCTGATACAGAAAGAGTTGCAATATAGTCAGATTGGCATGGAAACACTTTATACCCATTTATTGTCCTCCTTTCTTGCACATATGTAAAAGCCTACACAAAGGACAAGAGAGCAGTGAAGCAGACCTTTGAAACCTATAACAAAAAAGAAATAAATACTAAATATATGTTGAAGAATAAGAAGCATTTGAGACCAGAGTGCAAAAATCAAAGGTTCCTGAACCAGAGAGGTTAAGATCAATATGATATCCTGCAATTTTGTATCCAATCTCAATTTAAATTCCAAGTGATGCAATGAATGTTGTATTTTTAAAGAACTTAATTGTGGAAAAGAAGGTTGGGAGCTTCAGAAGAAGCTTTGGTTCTCCTAACTTGCCTTGCCTGAGGGAAGACCCTATGTGCCTTCAACCGTCTTGTCTGGCACTATCTCCTCTTTTATCAGGAAGTCTCTTGGATCTTTATTTTCTTTCTCAATGTTGCTGTTAATTTTACTCCATTTATAATTTCCACAGAAAATTCTAAAAGGAAAAAAAAAGCAAAAGGATTTAAGGATTTTGCTGAAATATAAATATCAACCTGATGGATTGTGCTGAGAAGAGTATCATTTAAAAAGTTAATATCTAAACTGTTGTTTCAATGCCTTCAGTTATCAAAAAACAAACACTTTGTATCTCTGAACTCTGGTTGGACCGACAATTTGCAGCCTCTGTAACACTGTGCTGAACTCGTCACATTCCTGATTGTGTCCTTTACAAGCATAAAGACTGGAAGCAATTTCAGAATAAGAGAGTAAGCTAATTAAGTGAAATAACCAAACCATTCTCAACCTCCAACAGCTGCTCTCCTGGCTATTCTAAACTGCAGAGTTAAGGCTTGACTGACGGTTCCTTCGTTTCAGCTGATCTCCCCATGATCAGACCTCATGTGATGCCGGATGTAACGTGAGGAACGCACACATTACGGATACCCGACCGCAGCCCAGACAAGTGAGCTCTACTACCAGAATGAGTAGCTTTTTTGGAGACACATCCGCTGAGGCCAAAAAGGCTGCCCTGAAAACTCCTGCCAAGATCCACAAACGCTTTGGGATGTAGGTCCAGTCTGCTCAGAAAAGGCAGAGCTACCAGGCTGACAGTGCTCCTGAGACCCAAACAAGCATCTGTGCTAACTGCATGCTGCCTAGGTCACCCGTCTCCCTCTGCCTCGCTTCCCTACCCTCGAATCCCCACTCACAAGGATGCTGTGTAGACGCATTTGTTCACTGTTTTCACATCCTGCTGTACCACAGCTCGGGGGAGAAGGAGACAGGAGCTGTAACAACGTCTGACAGATGACATGGATAAGAAGTCAGCACTCCCATCGCAATCCGGCATCGGTTCTTTGGAAACTACATTCACTCTAAGTGAAATTGAGTTAAACAGTCACAAGCATTAGATTACTAAAGAAGTCAAAGGAGGCAGACTAAACTTACAGGAGTTTCTTTCTATACTGAAGACACACTGACGGAGCAGCATGACCAGAAAAGAGAGAGAAAGGGAGCTGGCAGTAACATTAACTTGTTTTCAAAAATATATTTCCATATTTGCCTCTGCAGGAGAAACCTTTTCAGTATTCATGTGTTAAGCTTCATTTAGAGTCTGGATGGTCGTGTCCATGTTCACTTGCAAATAAAATATTATTTATGGGCTGATCTTGCAAATATTTACTACTGAACATATGGATGAGCGTTCAGCTGGTGTAAATCAGCAGAACCACCAGTCTCATTTATATCAGCTAAGGCTCCAGCATGTTATGTTTATTACATCAGAGACCCATTCATACGGATAGGATTTGTCCTGGTGGTAACTATCTCTAGGTTGGTTAATCCAAACTACAGGTTGACAACACTGGCGGAATCATTCCTCTACTTGAGCTTTGCGTAGTGCACAGCTTTAAAGTGTTGTTTAACAAATAATAAAGATTTTGTTATGACGTCTTATATACTGATTTAACTTATATACTGATCAATGC